GGCCCCCAGGCACCACTGACTATAGTCTAAACTTTCTCCTGTTCAGTCCTCTCTAGTACTACTTCCTTTATCATTATTTATGTATAAAATCAAGTGTCTGCAAAACACTTTACATATATGAGCTGTTCTATGCCCTGGAGAACTTTATAATCTAAATGATTTTTCAATGTAAGGGTGAGATCCTGACCTCCAATGAGACTGCTTAAAACTCCCCTAATTTGGAATGTAGCCAGCTCTACACCATTCCCTCTCAATTCTCCCAGAATAGGATACCCTACCTACTGGGCAAAGAGAGACTAGAGCAATTCCCGTGTGACATAACAGACACATTGGGGGTCAAAACTGCTCTGAGGATGCCCTAACTGACATCATGGGTTAAACTAGCCTCCAGTAGCCATACATTTCAGGAGAGCACAATGATAAAATGGATCTCTAGTGTAGCTGAGGATCAAATCCTAACTGTACATAATGACAGTCTGTAAGCATAGGCGCCAACTTCTCCTGGCGCCAGTGGGTGCTAGACTCCCCCCACCTCCGGCCCCAACCCAACTCCACCCCTGCCCCGCCCCCTCTCATCCCTGCCTCGCCCCCATTCCAAGCCCTTCCCCAAAGTCCCCGCCCCAACTCTGCCCCCTCCCTGCCCCTATTGGATGCTTTCCCCAAATCCCCGCCCCAGCCACGCCTCTTCCCTGCCTCCCCTGAGCGCGCCGCATTCCCACTTCTCCCCCCTCCCTCTCACAGCTTGTTACACTGCGAAACAGCTGTTTCGCGGTGGAAAGCGCTGGGAGGAGAAGCAGGGATGCGGCACGCTCAGGGGAGGAGGCAGAGGCGGAGCGGAGGCAGAGGTGAGCTAGGGTGGGGAGCTTGGCTGCCGCTGGGTGCAGAGCACCCACCAATTTTTCCCCATGGGTGCTCCAGCCCCGGAGCACCCATGGAGTCGGCACCTATGTCTGTAAGCAGTGTAGTTGTAGCTATGTCAGTCCCAGGATATTAGAGAGACAAAGTGTGTGAAGTAATACATTTTATTGGACCAACTTCTGTTGGTGAGAGTAACAAACTTTTGAGCCATACAAAGCTCTTCTTCAGTTGTGGGAAAGGTACTCTGAGTGTCACAACAAAATGCAAGATGGAACAGATTATTTGTAGCTGTGTTTTTCACTCTATGCATCTGAAGAAGTGAGCTGTAGCCCACGAAAGTTTATGCTGAAATAAATTTGTTAGTCTCTAAGGTGCCACAAGTACTCCTGTTCTTTTTATTTGGAGTAAGAAGTTAGCACATATTGTAAGGGACCATTCAAGGTTGAGTGGCCTATTAACACCTCTGCAGTCATAGAATAAAAAGAAAGGGATAGTGGGTTACAGATTGTGTAATGAGCCATAACTCCAGTGTCTCTGTTCAGTCCATGATTTTTTTTTACTATATCATTAATACTGTGTTTCTCCCCTGCCCCACCGTTCCCCCCAGATTTTAATTCTTTCAAAGGCCACTCTTTCTCCTCAGAATTGTTTAGATCTCTGATGAAGCAACAGTTGTTGCTGGGTTTTTAATTATAAGGGGACAACATGACCTGTTGATAACATTAATACACTTTAGAGAAAGGGAAATGTTAATGCCAGGTGCCAAAAGCCCACAGGCTAGTATAAAACAAGGTGACCTTAACAGAGGGTTAGATTTTGGGGGGAAATTACAATAGAGTCAAAGGAGCAACAAGAAGGAAATCAGTGGGGGGGGGATCTGTTCAACATCTTAGATGTCTGTATGCAAATGCAAGGAGTTTGGGGAATAAACAGGAAGAACTAAGCGTATTAGTACATAAGCTGAATTATGATTTAATTGGCATCACAGAGAGTTAGTGGGAGGAGTCTCATGACTGGAATATTGGCATAGAAGGGTATAGCTGGTTCAGAAAGGACAGGCCAGGAAAAAAGGGAGCGGGGGTTGCATGTTCTGAGGTCCAGGAGGAGGTGGGAGGCAGATGAGCTGAGAGTCTCTGGGTAAAGATAAAAGGGATAACAAATAGGGGTGGTGTCAGTGTGGGGGTCTACTATACACCACCGCATAGGAAGAGGATGTGGATGAGGCATTTCTAAAACACATAACAGAAATATCCAAACAGGCCCTGGTGGTAATGGGGGACTTTAACTACCCAGACATCTGTTGGAAAAGTAATACAGCAAAACACAAAATCTCCACTAAGTTCTTGGTCTGTATCACAGACAAATTTTGTTCCAGAAGAAGTATCCAGGGACACAGCCATTTTAGACTTGATTCTGACCCACATGAAGGATTTGGTAGTAAATCTGGAGGTGAAAGGCAATTTGGGTAACAGTGATCATGAAATGATAGATTTCATGAGTCTAAGGAAAGGAAGTATTGAGAGCAGCAAAATAAGGGTAAAGGACTTCAAGAAAGCAAACTTTAACAAACACAGAGAACTGGTAGTTAAGGTCCCATGGGAAGAAAATCTAAGGGTAAAAGGCATTCAAGAGAGCTGGCAGTTACTCAGGAGACAATATTAAAGGCACAACTGCAAACTATTCCAGTGCAAAGGAATGAAAGGAAGAATAGTAAGAGGCCAATATGGCTCCATCATGAGCTCTTTAATGACCTACAAATCAAAAAGGAATCCCACAAAAAGTGGAAACGTGGTCAAATTGATAAGAAGGAGTATAAAAGAACAACACAAGCATGTAGGGACAAAAGCGGAAAGTCTAAGGCACAAAAGAGTTACATGTGGCAAGGGATATTAAAGGCAATAAGAATACATTAGGTGCTAGAGAAAGATGAGGGAAAATGTAGGTCCTCTACTTAGCAGGGAAGGAGAGCGAATAACTGATGACATCACATGGGGTTCCGCAGGGGTCAGTCCTGGGTCCAGTAAAATTCAATAGTTTTATTAATAACTTGGATAATGGAGTAGAGTGGTGATTTGCAACCTATTTTTTATTTGAAGACCCCCCCACTCTCCATGACTCACTCTCCCCCATCCTCACTCACTTTTCACTGGTCCGGGGCAGGGGTTTGCGATTTGGGAAGGTGTGGGGGCTCTGGGCTGGGGCCGAGGGGTTCGCAGTGTGGGAAGAGGCTCCAGGCTGATCCTGGGGCAGGGAATTGTGGTGCAAGAGGGGGTGAGGAGGTGCAAGCTCTGGGAGAGAGTTGGCGTGTCAGGAGGGGGCTCCAGGCTCGGGCAGAGTGTTGGGGTGCAGGAGGGTGCTGGCTCTGGGAGGGGGGTCAGGAGTGAGGCAGGGGGTTAGGGTGCAGGAGGGAGTATGGGGTGCTGGCTCTGGGAGGGGGCTCAGGGCCAGTCAGGGACTTGGGGTGCAGGATGGGGTTTGGGGTGCTGGCTCTGGGAGGAGGCTCAGGGCTGGGGTATGAGGTGCTGGCTCTGGGAGGGAGGCACTTACCTCGGGTGGCTCCGGTCGGTGGTGCAGCGGGGCTTGGCCCCACTCAGGCACATTGGCACCTCCTCCCCATCACAAGCCATGCCACCCCACCCCCCACCCTGCCAGCCAGTAGTGCATCACGTGGCCACGCTATTCCCGGAAGGGGCCAACGTACCTCTGCGGCCCCTGGGGGAGGCACATGGCTCCATGTACTGTCCCTTTCTGCAGGCACCACCCCCGCAGCTCCCATTGGTCTCCAGTGTGTGGAGACCCCTCCCCCCCAGGGCAGTGGGGATGTGCTGGTCACTTCCGGGAGCGGCGTGGGGCTGCTGCAGGCAGGGGGCCTGCTTTAGTGGCCAGAGATTGCGATTGACTGGGAGAGTCTCCAGAATCAGCTGTCTTAGACATAGTCTGCAGATCCCCAGGAATCTGCGGACCACAGGTTGAAAAGCACTGGAGTAGAGAGTATGCTTATAAAATTTGCAGATGACACCAATCTGGGAGGGGTTGCAAGCACTTTGGAGGACAGGTTTAAAATTCAAAATGATCTTGATAAACTGGAGAATTGGTTTGAATTCAACAAGATGTAATTCCATAAATAAAAGTGCAAAGTACTTCCCTTAGGAAGAAAAAATTGAATGCACAACTACAAAGTGGGGAATAACTATCTAGGTGGTAGTACTGCTGAAAAGGATCTGGGGATTATAGCAGACCACAAACTGAATATGAGTTGTCAATGTGATGCAGCTGCAAAAAGGCTAATATGATTCTGCGGTGTATTAACAGAAGTATTATATGTAAGACATAGGAGGTAATTGACTTTTCTGCGTGGCACTGGTGAGGCCCCAGCTGAAGTACTATGTCCAATTCTGGAAGGATGTGAACAAATTGAAGAGTCCAGAGAGAGCAACAAAAATGATAAAAGGGTTAGAAAACCTGACCTAGGAGGAAAGGGTGAAGAAACTGTGCATATTTAGTCTTGAGAAAAGAAGACTGAGGGGTGACCTGATAGTCTTCCAATGTGTTAAGGGCTGTTATAAAAGGGACGGTGATTCTCCATGTCCACTGAAGGTAGGACAAAACATAATCGGCTTAGTATTCTGCAAGGGAGATTTAGATTAGATATTAGGAAAAAATATCAATTATAAGGATAGTTAAGCTCTGGAATAGGCTTCTAGGGGAGGTTGTGGAATCCCTATCATTGGAAGCTTTTAAAAACAAGTTAGACAAACATGTGTCAGAGATGGTCTAGGTTTATTTGGTACTGCCTCGGTGCAGGGGGTGGACTTGATGACTTCTCAAGGTCCCTTCCAGCCCTACACTTCTATGATTCTATGAAATGTGGGATTGATATGCTTGTGCTTTTGATTTCATAGCTGTTTTGAAAATAGCAAAACTTTTTGATAAAGAAGAACTGTTCCAGCCTACCTCTGCATGAAAAGGGTTATAATTCCCAAGACTACTTATGTGCCTTAATTTCTTCTGAAATATTTAAATATTAGAGACTTTTTTGCCCATTCTTTAAGTAGCCTGTAAAAATTTTTGGTGCATACTTCGTTGTGTTTCATTTGGACATTGAAATTATAACTTTCCCTCTCCTCTCCCTTACCCTACAGAATTCTGTTTTGGACAGACTGGGATGCTAATTTTCCTCGCATTGAGTCTGCTTCCATGAGTGGGGCAGGAAGAAAAATCATCTATAAAGACATGGATACCGGAGCCTGGCCTAATGGTCTTACTGTTGATCACTTTGAAAAAAGAATAGTATGGACAGATGCTAGGTAAAAACAACAATAAAATATTTATTATCAGTTTACTACTATTTGTTGTTTTATGTAATGCCTAATCTGGATTGCAAGCAAATATGCTACTTTCTCCCCATTTAATTAAACACATTATGTATTTGCTGTTTTATGTTTCGATTCATTGAAGTCAATCAGAGTTCAGATCCTTAATATACATTTTATGTTTCTATGAACAAATATTGAACTTTTTCAAAATGTATGTAATGACCCAAATCCTACTTACCTTTCTCATGCAAATAGTGTCATTAGCACTTGGGAACTATGTACATGTCAAAGACCCAGTTGTTGGTAAAGATTTTTCCTTTGAATTCAGGTGAATGGAAATTACTTTGTTTTTATTTCAACTGAATGGATAGAAGTCTAACATTTAAATTGAGCAAATACAAGCAAAAGAGTAACCCATATGTCTTTTAAACAAGAAATTCTAGATAAATTGTGCTAGAGCCACTCTAAGGTGATGATTGTTCTTACGTGCTTTATCAATAAACTTATGGCATTGCTGTCTGTAGTGGCAAGGTCATAAATACATTCTGAGAATATTCACTGAAGCAAAATTTTCAGGCCTATAGTACTATCAAGTTAGCCCTGGAGATGTCTTAATTTTTACAAATTATTTTTTTATTTGGGTTTATCTTGTAGGTCTGATGCAATTTATTCTGCATTATATGATGGAACTGGCATGATAGAGATCATACGAGGTCATGAATATCTTTCTCACCCCTTTGCTGTCTCTTTGTATGGAAGTGAAGTGTATTGGACTGACTGGAGGACCAATACATTGTCAAAAGCCAATAAATGGACTGGGCAAAATGTTAGTGTGATACAGAAAACCAGTGCACAGCCTTTTGACCTTCAAATATATCATCCAAGTCGTCAACCACAAGGTAACCTAAACGTAATTGTCTGATCACATATATGTTTAATTCAATTTTTGGGGTATGTACTGTGTTTTCTACTTTTCTGATGTCCCAAGAAACATCTGCGTTGAGTTGTGGAATGGATAACAAGAAAAAACTTGGTGGAGGTTACAATTTTCAAATGTCACTTTGTTGCTAGTTTGGTGGAGGGGAAGAATTAAATGAAAATTCCTTTAATTTGAGTATCACTTTCTGGTTTGAACTTTCTTTTGTTTTGTCAATATGAAATTTAGCTCAGATGTATGTCAAATACTTTCCATTTTGGTTTTCTAAAAACAGTTGAAGTGTTGTCTGCTAGTATGAAAACCTTAATGTATATTCATAAAAGTCAGCTTGTGGACAGGCCTTGTCATTGGTTACATTAAATATTGGCTGTTTTCAGTTTTGACAATGATCCTAGTACATTTTAAACAAATACGTTATCAGGATCACTAGACACATAATAATCATTGAATTATCTGCGCTGTTTATCTTCCTCAGTGAAGTATTATACCTACTTATGAAAAATGAAAGAACAAGTTAAAAACTGTGTTCTGGAGGACAGAATTACAATGAATGTAATTCAGTTTGCATGAATACAGTAATAGCGAATCATCAGTATAATTGTTTGTAGTTCTGGAAGAAATTACTACCAGACTTTGAACTTTTTATTCACAGTGGTGGGCACTTACTCCTGCAAATAGAACCACTGATATTAGTGGGAGTAAGTGCTCACCAATACACATAATGGGTTCACAGTCTGCCATTATGGTAATTTATGCATTATTATTATCTAGAAAAAAATATTTAAATTATAGGAATAAATGTTTAAAATTCATCTTATAGCTGTCTTAACCTACCTGTGAGAAACTATTAGGATTTTTTTTTTTAATAGAACACACATCATTTAGAAAGCTAAAGTTTGCCTGAACATTGTGGGATAATATGATATGCTTGACAAAGTTCTAAATTTTCTAACTTGCATTCTTGCTATACACAATACAGAAAAGATGGACCTAAGAATGTTGCTTGTAACTGCTAAAATCAATAAGGTACCAAGGAATAGTTGAAGAACTTGAAGTGTGAGGTCCTGTGTTGAAGGCATTTTGTTACAATTTCATCTTGACACCTGACTACCCCTTATTTGAAACTCTTTCCTACCACTCCAGTTGTTTTTATATTTTTTTCTAAGAATTGGGTAATAGAGAATATTTAAATCAAACCAAAACTGATCATTAGACTTAGTCCCAAGCCCAAGATTTTTGGTGTGGTTTAGGTAATTAGCATACCCTTCCTCTCTGCAACAAGTCGGTCTACTTTTGCCCATATGCTATTAAAAAAACATTGCAGCTTTTCATCAGGTTTTTGCATTCACACCTATGCTAACCATTTTCTTATTGTATATACTCTGTGTGTTCCTTGAAGTTAGAGCTGATCAGGGCCGGCTCCAGCATTTCTGCCTCCTCAAGCGAAAAAAAAAAAAAAGCCGCGATCGGCGGCGGCAGTTCAGCGGCAGGTCCTTCTCTCCTAGAGGGAGTGAGGGACCTGCTGCCCCCGAATTGCTGCAGGTGCCGCCCCTCTCCCTTGGCTGCCCCAAGCACCTGCTTGTTAAGCTGGTGCCTGGAGCCGGCGCTAGCGCTGATACAGAATACATTGCATGCCATAGATTTAGGCATCACAACTGTTGATGCAAAAAGATACAAGAGAAATTTAATATATTAGGTGGAGGGAAAATAGTGACTAGATACACACTGTGCAGGGCTGAGGGGACATAAGCCTGAAACTTGAATGTAGTCATTGAATTCAGTGGGGAACAAAGGGAGTCAATCAGTTTAAGGCAGTTGTTGCAGCAGTAGTTGGAAGGATCTTATTGTCAAAAGAAAAACAGAAGTTTGAGACCCTGAGGAGTGAAAAGACCTAAAATGTGTTTTGGATGAACATCTGAAATTATTTTGGCTTATTTTAACTGGAACCAAGCTTCTGAACTTCTTTAGGTTCAAAACTGTTAATTTTGCACTATTTTAGTTCATTGGTTATGTGTCTTCTAAATAGTACTTGTACTTAAAAAAATATTTTAAATTGGTGTGTTGAAGTTTCTTCCACAAATATTCTCCTCACCTTTGTATTTCCCCTTATTGAGTATCATGTTCAGAGTCAGTTCCCTAGTGCAGGGTTCCAGCTTACTTCTGCTGCAAACCAATGGGCCAAAAACACAGGGGAATCAGAATGGAGTAGGGAGATCTTGGCCATGTCCTTTTCCTCTGGCTTTGCCCTCTTTTCTTTTATGCCAGCATCAGAGAAAAGGAGGCTCACTAGTGAATCAATCTTGCACTTGAGAGATCCTCTCTGGGCTAATTATGTTGGGTTTAGGGTCAATTTACGCTGCTAGTGCAGTAAAAAGTGACTGCACCACATTGGGGCATATGGCACCATGCCTGAAACGTTAATGGTATATATTACATACACACAAAAAGCTGCATTAGAAGAACATTACAGTTTCAAAGTCAAGTACTCACAAGTTTAGGAAATGCCAGAATTAAGGTTGCCCGTGGAACCTTAAATTGGTTCCTTTGTGCATTTGCATTATGAACATCTTTAATTATATAATCACATTTTTTTTTACAGAAACAACCTCACACCCTAAATTTTACAACGCCTTCACCCTAAAGCAGAGTTTGCCATGTAACATTGTATTTTTCCTTACTCATCATTAAACCCACAGGCCACTCATGTCCCACTTCAGTGCTGACAATCCCCATGGCAAGATGACCATGTACATCACTATGATGTTACTTACTAGGTAATATGAAGTATACTGGATATCTCAAGGTACACATCCACCTCTTTACTTTGATCACACATGTGATGGGGGCAGAGAGAGTCTATCTCCTTCCCTAGGAGCTGGGCCCCCTCATATCACCTTATATCACAGTCACAGTTATGCCAAACAGTCTCAGCTAATCCCCGACCCATTCAATAGTACATCTAACACAATGAATGCAGATGGAGTGCATGCAGATAATTCTCCGTGGTTTTTAATATCTCTAGAGGGACAGAATTAAGGTTGTGTTGGTGTGCACCTTAATTCTACATTTCCTGGTTTTCAAAGGTTTGAGTTTTGCTGAACTCAATGTTCTAGAAGGGTGTGAGATACCACTGGGTAATCTGTTGACATTACTTTTAATCAGTGAATACATCTAGGAACTTGAAATGCAGGAATGGAGCCCTGTATACTGGAAAATAGCAACTCTGGAAAAATAAGGGTAATAGTGGACAAGTACTGAACATAGGCCCTGATGCTATGCCAAAAAAGGAGCAAATGTGATCCTTGGATCTATAAACAGGGTAGTGGGAAAGAGTAGGAAGATGATTTTACCTCTGTACTCTGGATTGATACTAAAATGCTGCACATAGTTCTGGTGTGAACATTTTTAAAGGATGTTGAAAAATTGGAGAGGATGTAAAAAAAGCTATTTAAAATTATTTGAGGGTTGGAAAAAATGTCTTACGGTGACAGATTTAAAGAGAGAGCTTAATCTGTTTAGTTTATGAAAGAAAGATTGAACAATGATTGATAACAATGTGTAAGTACCTTCCTGTGTAGAAAATATTGGTTACTAACAAACTCTTTCATCTAAGGGAGAAAGGCATAAGAAGTACCAATGCTTGGAAGCTGAAGACAGACAAATTAGAAATTAGGCACACCTTTTTAACAGTGAAGATTATTAACCATTGTTACAAACAATAAGGAGAAGTGGTAGATTCTCTATCGCTTTATGTCTTCATATCAAGACTGGATGCCTTTCTGGAAGACACGCATTTGCCAAACACGAGTTATGCTTCAGTGAGACACAAGTTATTGATCTCAGTACATGGAAAACTGGGTGAAATGTAATGTTCTGTGATATAGAGGAGGTCAGACTACATGATCTAATGATCCCTTCTGGTCTTAAACTCTAATAATCCATGTATTATGCCATTGCTTTTCAAGATGTCTTGCAATATTTTTAGTTGAGTATATCATTTCCTAAAAGCTAAAAACTTCAGTGTCAGGAACCTTCGACACCACAAAGACAACAGAATGTCTGGCTTCAGTCTTGCTATATCTTTATTTTAAGATGTCATTTATATAATCTTTTTGGAATACTGGAGAAGAGGAGACATTAAAATAAAAAGTTTGTTCCGATATGGATTGGGAACAGGTTAGCTATGTGGCTTGCCATGAACTTATTTCTTATGCCCAAATTTGTAGTTTATGTACTCAGTCCAACATACATTGAAATAAATAGAAAGGATCCCATTGACGTTAAAATAGCTAGATTGGGACTAGATATCTAACTTTAGACGACAAAGTCTGAATATTTTCCCATTTAGTTTTGCTAAGATATATTCAGAGTGATTTTTGCCCCAAATATTTTTTTATGTAACATTCAGTTTTTTGTGGAGAGAGTCCCCTGAAAAATGGGGCCAGTACTGTCAAGTTTTCTAAACTCTTTAAGCTCTGAATCCTCGGAAAAGTGAAAACATGCTGAGTTATCCATTCTTTCCCAATTCAAGGTTATACTTTAAAATTACACTTTTAAAAGGCACTTTCATACTTGAGCAACCATGAAAACAATATCATTTATATAAAAGTAATCTATTTTGTCTGTAACTTTCAGTGTTCCCTTTTCTGTTTTATAAGATAAATATTTGAATTAGAGTTGTCTTCATCACAGCTCTACTGTTTCTGCTTGATTCTTCAGTGAAATAATTCTCTAATTGTTACATCAGATAGTTGCCATGAGAGTGATTGAGGCACAATAAATTCCATGCACGTTATTACACAATAAAGTGAAAGGAAGAGGTGGGTGGTTAAGGACTATATTAATCATTTGAAAAACTTGCACTGGTAACTTGGAAGAGCACAAGTCAGAAACATAAACCTGTATTATTAGTATAGTTTAGAATATGGCATAAAAATGACTGTGCTGGGTCAGACCAATGTTCCATTTAGCCCGGTATCCTGTCTTCTAACAGTGGACAGTACTTCAGAAGGAATTGAGAGAATAGGGAAGTTTTCTTGAGTTATCCATCTGTTGTGCAGATATTGCAATCAGAAGTTTAGGGACACCCGGAGAATGAGGTTGCATCCTGACTCATCTTAGCTAATTCCTATTGATGGACCTAGCCTCCATGAACTTATCTGATTCTTTTTTGAACCCAGTTGTACTTTTGGCCTTCACAACATCCCCTGGCAATGAGTTCCACTGGTTGGCTGTGCATTGTGTGAAGAGATACTTGTTTATGTTTGTTTAAACTAAACAGGGAGCAGACTTGAAACTGTTTCTCATTGTGGTAGGCCTTTAAAACTGTGCAAATATATAAAGGGCTCTCCACATCCAATTATTTTAAAATTCGGAACCGTATGGCTTTGAATTATATATATATATATATAACTGATTGTTTTAAGAAATAAAGGGGCCTTTTCCTGTATTGTATGGTAGGGTTTTATAAAAACCTTGAAGATATTCAGTCATTAAAACCTCATGTATATATTACAAATATCTCTGGTTTTAAACCCTGTATTCAGACCAAATTCCTCCATGGATAATTAGGTTCTGCTGTTTACCATTCTCTTTCAATTTCAATTGGAGAGGTTGTTGTTCCCTTCATGTGTTTGTGTGTGTGTGTGTGTGTGTGTGTGTGTGTGTTTGTGTTTGTGTGTGCGCGCGCGTGCTTATGTACATTGGTTGGCTGTTTCTTTCCCCAGTATTTTTTTGTTTTGTTTGATGGATGAAGTGATCTCTATTTATATATAAATGTGTAAAGTGCTTTGTAATCAATTGTGATAGACGTTGATAAACATCATGATATTAATGACACTAATAGTTATATGGTTACATACTCTTCGCATTGATGGAAGATTGATTCCTGGCCCAAGGAGGTTGTTTTTATTTAAACTCTTTATTCTATCCACTATTAATATCTCATTATATAATTCCAGCTCCTAATCCTTGTGCTGCTAACAATGGCAGAGGTCCGTGTTCTCATATGTGTCTGATCAATCACAATAGAAGTGCCGCATGTACATGTCCTCATCTGATGAAACTGTCCATAGACAAGAAAACATGTTATGGTAAGTTTCTTATTTTTTCTTGGGAATCAAATTTTCTCTGATTTCATTAGAGTTAAGATTTTAAACTGGACAGAATAGAGCTTAATAATCTTTAAAATGGTCTGTACAGTGCTTTTTAGTGATAATTTTGAAGGTGCACCTACATTTTTGAAAGCAGATAAATTATTCTAATATATGCAATGTGTGGAACTTTGATATTTATAAACGTGTTCATTTTTTCTATTGCTTATGTATGTCATGTGTTAGTAGAACTTATCTCTGTAGTACAGGAAGATTTATAAGTGTAAAGTGCAGCATCAGAAAATGATGACATAAAAAAATACCTAATAACTTTAATCTCTACCTGCTCTTCTTCTGAAGTGTTCTTAGCATAATTTTGGGGGATTAAGAATTAAAATGAAGAACATCCATTAAACAGGTAGCTTTGTAGGGGAGGGGTGTGTGTGTATAAAGATTATAAGCAAAGCTTTATAATAGCCCCAGAAATGTCAAATAATTTTGTTCATTATTTGTAAAAGCTTTTAATGCACTCTTCTTTGCAGTACCTAAATAGGAAATCTCTAGAAAAATATTTTGCTATACCAAAATGTGTTAAAAAAACAAAATTTACCTCTGCAATTCATACACTGACGCATTTCTCTAAAACATCTTAAGTAGCTTAGAGACAAGGGGGAAAAAGGTTCTATTTGCCCTTGATATAATCTATTCATGTATCATATATTAACATTATTATTGTGTATTCTGTAAGTGGATTCAGCTGAACAATGGGCCCCGTCTTTGTTCTCCCCATGCTTTTGTCTCATCTATTTGTAATCAGTGCAGACACTGAAGAGCTTCTTATAACTACTTCCGTTTGTAATTCTTTCCTGATGTACATCAGTGATTTTCCTGAGATTTCAAATACCAATTGGCATTACAAAGATGAGCAAGTAGAGAACTAGATTATTATAACACTCTAGGGCAGGACTACACTTAAAAAGCTTCTCCCATTGGCGTAATTAATCCTCCTCTGCAAGGAAGAAGTCCTTGACTTTAGCAAAGCTTTTGATACGGTCTCCCACAGTATTCTTACCAGCAAGTTAAAGAAGTATGGGCTGGATGAATGGACTATAAGGTGGAGAGAAAGCTGGCTAGATCACTGGGCTCAACAGGTAGTGATCAATGGCTCCATGTCTAGTTGGCAGCCGGTATCAAGCGGAATGCCCCAAGGGACGGTCCTGAGGTCGGTTTTGTTCAATATCTTCATTAATGATCTGGAGGATGGCATGAACTTCACCCTCAGCAAGTTTGCAGATGACACTAAACTGGGAGGAGTGGTAGGTACGCTGGAGGGTACGGATAGGATACAGAGGAACCTAGACAAATTAGAGGACTGGGCCAAAAGAAATTTGATGAGGTTCAACAAGGACAAGTGCAGAATCCTGCCCTTAGGAAGGAAGAATCCCATGCACTGCTACAGACTAGGGACCGAATGGCTAGGCAGCAGTTCTGCGGAAAAGGACCTATGGGGTACAGTGGATGAGAAGCTGGATATGAGTCAACAATGTGCCCTTGTTGCCAAGAAGGCTAACAGCATTTTGGGCTGTATAAGTAGGGGCATTGCCAGCAGATCGAGGGACGTGATCATTCCCCTCTCTTCGGCATTGGTGAGGCCTCATCTGGAGTAGTGTGTCCAGTTTTGGGCCCCACACTACAAGAAGGATGTGGAAAAATTGGAAAGAGTCCAACGGCAACAAAAATGATTAGGGGGCTGGAACACATGACTTATGAGGAGAGGCTGAGGGAACTGGGATTGTTTAGTCTGCAGAAGAGAAGAATGAGGGAGGATTTGATAGCTGCTTTCAACTACCTGAAAGGGGGTTCCAAAGAGGATGGATCTAGACTGTTCTCAGTGGTACCAGGTGACAGAACAAGGAGTAATGGTCTCAAGTTGCAGTGGGGGGTATTAGGAAAAAACTTTTTCACTAGGAGGGTGGTGAAGCAGTGGAATGGGTTACCTAGGGAGGTGATGGAATCTCCTTTCTTTGAGGTTTTTAAGGTCAGGCTTGACAAGGCCCTGGCTGGGATGATTTAGTTGGGGATTGGTCCTGCTTTGAGCAGGGGGTTGGACTAGATGACCCCCTGAGGTCCCTTCCAATCCTGATATTCTATGATTCTATGAAGTCCTCTCATCGACATAGTGCTGTCTACACTGGGATTAGGTTGGTATAACTGCATTATTTAGGGGTTTTCATACCCCTGTGTGACATAGTAATACTTATGTAAGTTTGTACTGTAGACCTGGCCTCAGGGAGCTTATAGTTTTAAAATACTACTTCCAGTCTGTTCTTTCTTTGGAATCCTGCAAGGCTACATTGATATAATCGATTAGGAAAAGGTTTTAAATATGTGTAAATTAATACATTTTACTTCTCTATAGTAGCTTGCTACACATTATATCAACAGATTTGCATACAAAAAATTGTTCTTACTTCATTGATACAAACTTTGCTTAAAAATTGCAAAATAATATTTAGGGGATAACTTTGAATCCAGTCAGTTTTAATTAAGGAACAAAATATTTTTCATTTTTCATACAGAAATGAAGAAATTTCTTCTTTATGCAAGACGGTCAGAAATAAGAGGTGTGGATATAGAGAATCCATACTTCAACTTCATCACTGCCTTCACGGTCCCTGACATTGATGATGTCACGGTCATAGATTTTGATGCAGCAGAGGAACGCTTGTACTGGACTGATGTAAAAACACAAACCATCAAGCGTGCTTTTATTAATGGGACTGGATTGGAAACAGTTATCTCAAGAGGTGAACAGCATAATGTTTATTTAAAAGTAATAGTCATTCATAATAATAAATATGCATGTGTACTAACTATGGAAAACTGAAATTTGTCCACATTTCTTGTGACTTGTATTTTAAATGGATTACAGAAAATTGGTGCAGAATAATATTGTTTATTAATAGACCAATACTAATTTAGTAAGACATTGATTTCATCTTTATAGAGGCATAAAACATATATGCTTTTGAATATAATTAAGATTTATCTGGGATATCTAATATTTATTAAAAATTTAAATTTGTTTTATCTAACAGAAGAAATGCTGCCTTCCTAGAAAGGTTAGAAAGGAGAAAATTAAAAACAAAAAGCAGGAAAAAAAATAGTGTACTGAAAATAGCTTTACATTTAATGCATTTTTATGCTCTATTTCAGGGGTCAGCAACGTTCGGCACGCGGCTCGCCAGGGTAAGCACCCTAGCGGACCGGGCCAGTTTATTTACCTGCTGATGCGGCAGGTTCGGCCGATCGCAGCCCCCACTGGCCGCGGTTCGCCGTCCCGGGCCAATGGGGGCTGCGGGAAGCCGCGGCCAGCACATCCCTGGGCCCGCGCCGCTTCCCGCCATCCCCATTGGCCCGGGACGGCAAACCGCGGTGAGTGGGGGCCGTGATCAGCCGAACCTGCCACGTCAGCAGGTAAATAAACTGGCCCGGCCCGCCAGGGTGCTTACCCTGGCGAGCCGCGTGCTGAATGTTGCCGACCCCTGCTCTATTTCATGGTCAGTTACACTGACTTTGGCAGAAAAGATGAGCTCCCTCTGGACCATTGTGCTTGCCTACTTGTCGCCACTTAGATATATTTTGTGAACCACAACCTGAATTTCAAATACAAAAAATACAAAGTGGCAGTAACTTTGGGGTGATGCCTGCATAGTTTACACCTTAAAGAATTGTACTCTATATTGGCTTTAGAATGTTTGTAATATTACCATTATTAACATACTTGTTGCTTTCTTCCACTGTGTCCAAGCTTCAACTGATTGGTATCGGTGAGGCTCTTTATCATGCTTGACCATAGCCAATACATCATTGTTGAGGAGTGCAACCTTTTGATCCTGTTTCCTTCCATTACACTTGGCCTGTGTTAGTTTTCTGGCTGATTGATGCTTCAATGCTGTATTGTTTTTTCTCTATTTTCATAATTGGCCAGCTCTTCTTATCACAGTAGACAAAGGAAACTGATAAAAAGACAATATTTTACTTAGATGATGTATGTGTGTACATGAACAACTACTAAGTCATTTGTCCAGAGAAGAATCATGACTGGCTAGGTGCATAATGCGTCCTCAGTTGTACTCCTCATCCTTCTGTAGAAACACCAATATCCTTCTTTAGAAATACTGATATTCCTAATGCTTACTGGGCTCGCTGTGTTTCACAAAAGTTGATCTCCAGTGAGGAGCACCAAGCATTTTGACATCAACCACACTGGTGCAGGTCCAGGGAAACCCTAGACTGATTGTTCCCCTGCCAGCCTGCAAATAATTCTCCTCAGAAAGATGTAGGGATGTCCTGAGCTGAGTTGAGGTATCAGTGCCCTCCATCCTTGGGTGCCATCCTTCTAGTACTGAAGGGTGACTTTTTTCTTTTCTTTTTTCCCCCTACCAAAGTGAGGTATTGGCCCCTGAAGAAGGCACTCTGCTTGCCTTGAGACGTTCCAGTCACCAAAGTCTCAGCATTTGATTCCTGTTTGCTTTATACAAAGCTTGTACATTCCAGGAGGGAGCAACTGAAATATTTTCAGATTTGATAGCACATAAGTAGATTGCACCGTGCTGTTTTGAAGTGCTCTGCACTGTGAATGCAGAGACTGCACTGGCTCTGAGATCTGAACTCTGCTGTCTCCACCTACTCAGCACCAGTATTCACCAGTACTGATGTTACTCCATTTGTTGGCTTCATTGACCGTTTTGGTGCAACCAGTGTCAATTCCTGTACTGGGAGCAGCAGGTCTCCTCTCCTCTCTATGAACACAACATTCTAAACCACCTGCTTGAAATCAGGAGGGCCAGTCTAATGAGGACTTTCTGGAGGTATATGTATCTATTCAGAAACTGAAGTGATGGTTGACTCCTCAGAGGCAAAATCCAAACAAGAACAGTACAAGGAAAATAGCACTTCTGTGGAGGGTTGTACCTTTTCTCATTTTTATGATCAAATAAGTAACATTGAAAGCTTTTCTTTAGCCCCCCTCCAGATAACCCCAAGTCAAATTTTGACAAGTAGCGAGACTATGCTCTCCTTTGCAATATGCCGGCGGTGTACTTGTATTCTTTTCTAGATCAACTGGTGGAGAAGTGTCAGCATTTTCATTTAATTTTGGATGTTTCTAAGTTGGCTGATATATGTATTTTGGGGAGAATGTTGTGTGTTTCCCACTGTTTTCATGAATCCGGTGATGGAGTCAACAGTGGCCAGATCAAAAACCACACAGACTCTGAGTTCTGTATGTTGGACCTGAACTGAGGTGCTGGAATTCTTCTAGAAAAAAAGAGTTTATCAGCTGAAGTGGCTGAATGCCAGAAAAAAATTGAGTTGTTGTATAAACTATTTAATAAAAAAAAATGCAGAGTTTCAGAGCCTACTGGAAAGCTGTAATGTTGGGCCATGTGAGTAGCTTCAAACATTTGGAACAAGGTGGTAAGAGTGCCTTGTGGCTCCACTTGCCTTAGTCCCTTCTATTTCTCAGTTAGCTGTGGACAGAACTGTGCTGTCCCTGGACTCTGGTCTTTGATCAGATTTCTCTAATATACCTTTTTATGCATATGCATTGATTTAGGGTTTTTTCCCCCCCAGTAGTAGTTTTTAGATTGATAATGATAGTTCTGGCATCATGGCCAAGTAAGATCTTGAAACATATGGATTCTAGAAGTGTATGTCTTGCCTCTATAGTATTCCTGAATTTGATGTTCATTTCCAGTGTCTCATCTAACTTGATGTAGTCATTCCCAGTGTGGTGCTTGGTTTACTGGACTTTTGTGGCTGAACCTGTAAAGAATAGTAGACTTTGGTGCTGGCTTGTGTCAGGAAGGAGGCTGTAAGAACTTCGGATATGATCCAGGTTCAAGGCCTTTGTTCTGTACAGGGCTACATAGTATGCCATCCTTGGCTTCTATGTCCCACAGAGGGAGCAAGTTGAAGCCTTCATTACAGGGACCAGCACCTTTTTCCAGATCCTAGTTGGAGTCCAGTTCTGGAATTAGGTACTACAACACTGGCAATGCTGTATCTATCTTTCTACATTACTGGAGTCCTCAGGTTTGGGGTCTTCCTTAGTGCTTTCTTTGGCTCAGGTGCTGACCAGTGATGCTGAATCTGTATCTTTGGTGCCAGTGCCCTCCTTGATGCTGAGAAAGTAGGGAGAAACAGCACTTCCGGAATCGTGCTGGACTCCAATGGAATCAGTCAGTGCAGCTGGGCTCATTGTTTGAGGAGGCCTTTTAACAGCCCGCCTATGAACCATCATCCCCCTCAGAGTGAGCATGAGATTTCGTCACACATCATGATTGATTTTGTATAAATTAACTTTAAAAATAGAAATTAATCTCTGAACCTGTTCAGGGAGGGTGATTTCTTCCAAATCATGTTTGTCAAACTGACGCTTTTTAAACAGCACACCTGTTGCAGAGGTATTGAAAACAAACAAATAATGCTTTCCCCCTAAATTGGAAAAGGCACTACCAGTTATACAGTTTACATTTTGTTATTATCCTTGTACAATACGATTGATGTCTATTTTTTACTCCTCAGTGTTTGCTGAGAATTATTGACTGTTTAGTGCAATTTCAATGTTAATTGTTGCAGTAGGCTTTCATTTGGCTCAGCAGAACATTAACGATTATTCATGGTTTAACAATGGTTGATAAGTGAATGAAATTGCAATCTTGAACAATTTTGCTAACAAATTAAAATATAAATTATTTTCCCCTAAAACAGAAAATAATTTATTTGGAAAGGAAACCAAATGAACAACCTGTATTCACTTTTAATTTGCTCTTTCATGTTTTGCAGATATTCAGAGTATTAGAGGCCTTGCAGTGGATTGGGTGTCACGAAATTTGTACTGGATTAGCTCGGAGTTTGATGAAACTCAAATTAATGTGGCACATTTAGATGGTTCTTTGAAAACCTCAATCATCCATGGAATTGATAAACCCCAGTGTCTTGCAGTTCACCCTGTCAGGGGGTAAAGTATGATTATTCTTAACTGGTGGGATTTCATAAAATATATGGAAAGATTCCTTGTATTTGTCACTAGGCATGGTGGCTTTTCAGTACTTGCTTTTATTTTTAGGACTACTATGAAAAAATATTGAATATCTTGGAGTTGACAACTCATTTTCTCAGTCTTAATAATAGAGATAGATCTTATTACAATTATTTCTGACGTTTCATTAGCATGCCTTATATAATTGCAGGTCAGCAAGGGAAAGGAAAAGAGAGAGAGTGTGTGTGTGTGTGTGTGTGTGTGTGTGTGTGTGTGTGTGTGTGTGAGAAAGCATAAGTACAGGTGCTAGACTTGCTGATTTCTACTTTATTTGTCCCAAATGCATGTGCTTCAGAACTTTTATACAGAATTTCTTGCACTGAATACAGAAGGCTTTTATAACAAACCTTATTATGAACTAGGTAGTACAGCCATTCATATGGTAACAACATTGTATATACTATTCATTTGATCATCTTTTCAAAACTGACACATTTAGAACATGGCGTATATGAAACCAAATTTTCAGTCAGTCTTGTTTCTTGTTAAGGAAGCTTTACTGGACTGATGGGAACACAATTAATATGGCAAACATGGATGGCAGTAACAGCAAAATACTCTTTCAGAATCAAAAAGACCCAGTTGGTAAATATTGTTTTATGCTATTCCTTTTTATTTAAAGTTGTTTTAATATTGAAATTATTTTATGTGATATTTAAAGTGCTGTGTTTCATATACTATATATCAGTAATATAGAAGATATTAAGAAACATACATATATTTAGAATATGTAATATACATTTAATTGTCATTATTTAATTTTATCCTTTCAAGGCATTTGGACAGAGTCCACTGCCCATTGGAGTCAATGGGGGTTAGAGTAGATTTGTTATAACTGTATGAACTTGCATAAAGGACTGCAATTGATATTATATAGGCTGAAGTTGAAATTAATTATCCTAGAGGCATATTCTTTGACCCAACAAAGACCCTTGGATATAGTCTTTGAATATATAAGTCTTTGAATATAGTATAATGGGCGTGTTTCTGTCATGGGTATAGGAAGGAAAGATATGGGGAACTCAAGCTTTAGGCTCACAACCACTCAATACTCAGTCTGGAACATATCTCCAGAGGGTTGTCTGCACCCATTGCAGAAATAAAGGTGTTGGATATGTGACTTCATGAATTCCTCCCATTTGTTCCCTCTGAAGAGGTGGTGTTCCATAGTAGAGCCGCTTTTCTGCTGCGGTGTGAAGTGGTAGGGAAGTGGGCCACAGACGTCTGCTCAGAAACCCATCTTTCTGATGAAAGAAAATTTGGCCCTTAAATTTTAGTTCATAGCAAAGGACAGAAATAGAAGTAAATGTACTACCTATAACTGCTTTTTACTAAACATTAATATTGCTTAATGTGTGCCATTGATGTAATATGTTAACATTTATTTTTAATACCGTTGATATATTAGCTAGGATATAGTATGTGAGAAACTATTAACATTATGACTCTTTTTGACAAAATTATCTGCTATCATGTTTTATTCCTGTCTTTTGTGATGGTGGTCATTCTGTTTTCTTTCTGGTATTTCATTTCTTCTGGGTGTTTAAATATCCCATTATTCATTTTGTCTTTTTGAACATAAGTCTTATAATTAGAGAGTTTTTATCACATATTGTTTTATGGTATCATATTTAGTAAGCATGAATATGCAAAGTAAGCAAGAGAAAAATAGCTGAAATAATTAAATTGGCATTAAAGCAAATGCAAAGTGCTTTTCATTCTGGAAATCAGTTTCTGGTATTTCTCTTTTGATACCTTTTACGTTTTAAGAATATAAATTAGAGATAATTCAGTACAGGCACTTTATTGCCAAATCCTGGAATAAATCTTACTGCACAATCCAGAGAATAAACCTCCTATGGAAAATATTCAACAAGCCTTTTCCCTCACACTGGTATAGTTTCACATGTGTCATGAGACACAGAGATAAATTATGCACTTGGAGATAAAAAGGTAAGTTCAAGAGCTAAATCTGCTATGGTATACAAGATGATAAAAAATAGAAAGGGATTCAATATGCAAGATTAGGATACTGCTTGATTACAGCCTTATAAAGGTGGACTAAATGTGGACTAAAGCAGTTTCTTCAGTGCTTATCTGAATTGTGCAGAACACTTTACATTGACTGTGAATACGATCATAGGGTCATATAGTCTTCTTGAAAAGACATGCAAAAAGGCAGTTTGTATTAACTAAGATGCAAAGCAAGCTAAACTGCATGTGCGGGTGAAAGAAAAGTGGTATACTCCATTGCTGGATGTATAGCAGTATTGCCACAGCTGCAGCCCCAATCTTAAAAATTTACTCTGCGTTGGTCAAAATCAGTCACCACCCCTCAACCATCAGTCTGACAACTTCGGCTTAAGTTGAACTATTTAGGATAATTATCTTTTTTTAACTGGTTTGATTTTTTTTTTTTTTTTGAGAATTTTCACATTTGCATTCAGTAGTGAAATAACCTTAGTTGAGGAACATTTAAGAACATTTAATGGCATGGTGTTATCTGCATAGTTTCTGATAGTCATCCTGTAGACCTGCGGCTCTCAACTTTTCCAGACTACAAATCAGGAGTCTGATTTGTCTTGCATTACCCCTAAGTTTCACCTCACTTAAAAACTACTTGCTTACAAAATCAGACAAAAAAATACAAAAGTGTCACCGCAAACTGTTACTGAAAAATTACTTATTTTCTCATTTTCACCATACAATTGTAAAATAAATCAATTGGAATATAAATACTGTACTTATATTTCAGTGTATAGTATATAGAACAGTGTAAACACGTCATTGTCTGTATGAAATTTTAGTTTGTAATGACTTCGCTAGTGCTTTTTATGTAGCCTGTTGTAAAACTAAACAAATATCTAGATAAGCAGTTGTACTCCCTGCAAAATCTCTGGTACCCCCAGTGGTATGCATATTTCTGTTTGAGAGCCACCGCTGATTTCAGTGCTTAGTTAAATAATAAGGTCCTGGGTGAGCTATTGTGGGAAATTTTTTCTTAAAAATATTTGGAGGGTTATTACTGTTAGTAACCTAACAATAATAGATACTTAACAGATTCATCTAGAATGAATAAATTAACTCTTTGTGTTATCGATGGACATGTAGGATTGTGCTAGTGATTAAACTATAATTGGATGTGTTAGTATAAGATCATCACAGCAGGAAAACAAGGTATAGCGAGAGGGAAACATAACTTAAAATAAAAATTATATACAAATATAACGTTGGAAGAATAAGGTCATGGAGACGTGTACCTGAACATTGGTAAATGTGAGAATTAATGTTGCCATGCATTTCTGTATCAAATGCTGAAGCAAAATGGCGAAGCGTGTGTGCAGTGTTATAGAAGGTGGAGGATTTGTAGCATGCTACCAAAACCAAGCTGTAATTCCAAAGTCACAGGAGCAAAATGGTGATTTTAAGCATCTTAGAACTGCCAAATCTATGTGGATTTTCACAAGGTCAGAAAAAGACACCCCTCCAATCCTAGGAGTTTTCCCCCTACAAAATTTCAAAGTAAAAAGAGGTCTCAAGAACCTTTTTAAGGTAGAAAGTGTTAGGCAACTTTAATATAGGGTTTGCTGTCATACTCCCTATAATGTACTTTTTACAATAGTGGAATGTTTCTTGCAAATCAGGAGATGGTTGTGAAGAGAGAAGACAAGGACAGCATACGTCTTGGTAAATGAGAAAAAAAATCAACATAAAATGCAATTTCCTTGTATTTTTAAAGAGTTGTCAAGTTCCTTGTGATGTTTTTAAATATTATGTTGTGAAGCAATCTGAGTTGTTGTTTTAATCCTTCATAGAAACGTATACAATCCCTGCATATGCACTTCAAATAGAAATGGGTTTAAATAAACTTGGAAAAGTTCTATTTCTCAGGAGTTTCGGGCAAGTAAAAGTTTCAGGTTTCATGTTCACTGGACAAAGACAATATGGAATGTTGGGAGTGAGCTGAATGGTGTCAGGTGCATCAGCATTTTAAATTGCAAGAGAGAACCAGTGGTGCTAGCTGAATGGGAGTGGAGCAAAGGAAGCCAAGCTTATACAACTAGAGAGAGAAAGAGCCTCAACAGAGCAACTGTAAATTGACGGATAGTAATCGATCTATCGGGGATCGATATATCGCGTCTCATCTAGACGCGATATATCGATCCCCGAACGCGCTCCCGTCGACTCCGGAACTCCACCAGGGCGAGTGGCGGTAGCGGAGGCGACGGGGGAGCCGCGGCCGTCGATCCCACGCCGTGAGGACTCGGGGTAAGTCGAAATAAGATACGACGACTTCAGCTATGCTATTCCCGTAGCTGAAGTTGCATATCTTACATCGACCCCTCCCCCAGTGTAGACCAGCCCTAAGAGGAGGAGTGGCTGAGCAGAATAATATAGCTGAGTTGGGGATGAAACTTGTCACACATTCAAGTAATGCCTTTGTGGAAATGAGGGTGGAACCAAGCAGAAAATTACAATTTCTTTATTTTTGACTTCAGAATCTTTGTCTAGCATCCTCTTTTTAAAAAAAAAAAAAAAATCCCTCTTTCAAAAGTTCATCTTACTACGCTAGTTATTTTGCATTTTTCTCTCTCTAGGATGTTGAGCTTAATTATTTAGGTTCACTATTACTCACTTGTTCAACTATAGTTACTTCTTGAACCAACTCCTGAGTATTACTTAGTACTAGCTATTATTCTCTTGTGTGCTTGTTACAGGTTAGCTGGCGGTCATGCTGTCAGCCTGCTGGTGACAAGCTCTGCTAAAGAAAATGAACCAGCCCAGATCCACCTGGGGATAACTGATTGCCTGTATAGCTGGGCAGTAGTTAATTAGTTAAGGAACAGCTGGGCCTTATAACAGGTGATGTGGCCTCAGGCAGGAGAGAACACAGGGACGAGATACCTGGGAAAAGAATTCCCCAGGCAAGCTAGCTAAGAATCTACTCCCAGTGGGATCTTCTAGAGAAAAGAGCTTCCTGAGCAGAGGAACAGTTCCCAGAATACAGAAAGACAAAGTTTCCAAAGAGAGGACTTCTCAGGGAGCTCACCAGGAAAGGAATAGAAGGAAGAGTGCTCCTAGGTGGGGGAGGCTTTGAAAGGGAAGAACTATGAATGCCAACCCTCAAAGGACTTCACCATGTATCATGTGAGACCCAGATCAAAGGAATTATGTGCTGTTCTGAGGAAGTGTCATCACTGTTTGACCCCTGTGGGGACCATGACTCAAGAGGAGAGACCCTTTCCTAGCTAACAACAGAGGCCTTGACTCCAGAAGAGGGTTCTGGGTCAACGAGACATGGACATAAGTGGGGTTAATAGACTACAGTTAACTCAGTCCCTCCCCGCCTCCAGCAAGGATGCCGGGGTGGAGGCCTATTTATGTAATTCTCTGCCTTTAGATTATATAAACTAGATCCCTGAAAGGGACATTATTCAGTATACATAAGCCTTATTGGATTTACTGAACACCAGTAGGGGAAACTCAGGCAGAAACTTAATTGCAGCACTGCATGGGACCACTGCGGGCTGCACCATGGGTGAGGGCCCCCATTACAGTGCTCTAGAATGACTTGTTCCAAGAAGTAAAGAATTAGCATAAGGAACATAAGAATGGCCATACTGGGTCAGACTTATGGTCCATCTAGCCCAATATCCTGTCTTCCAATAGTGGCTAATGCCAGGTGCCCCAGAGGGAATGAACAGAACAGGAAATCATCAGGTGATCCATTCCTTGTCGCCCATTCCCAGCTTCTGGCAAACAGAGGCTAGGGACACTGTCCCTTCCCCTCTTGGCTAGTAGTCATTGAGCAATTATAATGAGAATTAATTTTAAAACTGGGCTATAATTTCACAAAACCGGGCTTTCTTACAAGAGTTCTGAAACTTTTGGTTAAGCCAGAGAAAAGCCTTTGTAACATCCTGAATAGAACTCTGAATTGCAGCGATTCTCAGAAATATTCTTTTGTTTTGTTTGATTCTTTCTGTTACTATTTGAACATATTTTATGTGGCAGATTCACTGGAGTTATTTTTATTTGGTGAAAAGAAGACTCAGTAATAGACTGGCCTATGTTGCTGGCTTGTCTTCTAATCTGTGTGTGCAACATTCTTGAAATAGAAGTTCATCATAATCTTATCAAAACAGTAAACTTGCATTTTATGAGTTTGTACTGCTACAGAGTGAGTAATTGAAGCCTTCAGGCAGTTTTGGCTGAATAACTTTGTTCCTTTTAAGTAGAAAGCAGCATTCCAAGCAATCCATTGTTAAACTAAACATTCCCAATTACTATTTATTGCTCAGTTTCAGTTGTACTAAATGCTCAGAGCTGTTTAGACTTGGATTTTAATTCACTAATTGGAGCTATTTTCATATTTAAATCAAAATTCACACTAGCAAATATATCTCCAAGTATATTAAAATCAAACTTGTATTTGTCAGCCAATTGTCCAACATAGAACTCCCCTCTCCAATTTTGCCACCTGCTGAATTATTAATTTATTCTAATTTTAATTTCAATCAGATGTTTATGGGTACAACCATTAAGACCATCATTAGAATGTTAAGAGGACAGAATGTCCAGAGAATGATAAACTCATGTATGAATGGATTACCCTGGGGGGAGGGAGGTTATTTACAAAAAACTTCTTGAATTTATTGCCTAACGGGTGGTGATGGATGATAGAATAGGAATCATGTGGCACTTCACATAATTACACAATCATCTTAACTTCTCTATGAGTCTTCTGAAAGAAAGATGGATTCAATTCAACATAACTGTTTAGTGTTGACATAGTATGCAGCCCTTTCATCAGCAGAGGGTGTAAGAGAATCAGCAAGAACCTGACATGTTTCTACAATACACTAAACTCCTTCCATGGGCACAGGAAGACACAATTTCTGAAGAGATAACCTACTACACAGGGCTAAAACCAGATGAGCCAAGGAAATATGGTCAGAGATGCATCACTGACACTTCTGGCTGAACTGTGAGAGAAGCTGTGACTGAATGCTTTCTTAGGAAAGCAGGAGTGCGGGAGAAAGAAGGCTATGAGAGGATAGTTGGTCTTGTGTAAAGGCACTAGATTGGGACTTGTGATCTGGGTTCTGTTCCTGCCCTTCAAAGTTCTTTCTGAGCACCCTACATGAAGTATATATTGGTTTTGGAGTAGCTCCATAGTAGAAAATAGCCTCTGACAGGCAGCTAAAGTCTCTAGCTATGCATTTTTGACAGGAGACTTTCATGGGGAAACTAATAATGGATGTGAGTAGGAGAACTACCACTCCAAATCCCTTAAGTAGAACATTAGAGGGTTTACCAAAAGGATATTTGAATTTTCAGGGCCTTCTCTGTAGACCCGAGTCTGTGTTCCTGAAGATTCTTCAGGAGCTGTCATCTGCAGAAACTCAGCAAATTTCTGGCTGACAGAGGCTTTGTCCAAGATCTAGGCTTGGTCTGGCATCATCTTTCTTCTATGCTGCCATTTTTAGTACCTTCAGGGTATCTTCTTACTCTTCGGCTTTGGCAGTTTTAGCTATGGGGGAGAGAATAGGTATGAGTTAGACACTCTGATACATGGTAATGAGTATAGTATAAATATCTAAGTTGGCTAGTTAGAGGGTCCTTGAGGCTACAGTAGTAGTCTGCAAACCTTCTGTTTCATGGAAGTGATCAGTGTCATTTATAATTTCTATGCTGTCAAGTATCAGGGGGTAGCTGTGTTAGTCTGTATCCACAAAAACAAGAAGGAGTCCGGTGACACCTTTAAAGACTAACAGATTTATTTGGGCATAAGCTTTCATGGGTAAAAAAAACACTTCTTCAGATGCATGGAGTGAAAATTACACATGCAGGCATTATATAATGACACATTACTCTGTCCCCATATCTACTCTAGCGACTCCATCAGAGGACCCAACCACATCAGCCACACCATCAGGGGCTCATTCACCTGCATGTCTACTAATGTTATATATGCCATCATGTGCCAGCAATGCCCCTTTGCCATGTATATTGGCCAAACCGGACAGTCCCTACGTAAAAGAATAAGTGGACACAAATCGGACATCAGGAATGGTAACATACAAAAGCCAGTAGGAGAACACTTCAATCTTCCTGGACATTCTGTAACAGATTTAAAAGTAGCTATACTTGAACAAAAAATGATGATACCAAACTGGGAGGGATTGCAACTGCTTTGGAGGACAGGGTCATAATTCAAAATGATCTGGACAAATTGGAGAAATGGTCTGAGTTAAACAGGATGAAGTTTAACAAAGACAAATGCAAAGTGCTCCACTTAGGAAGAAAAAATCAGTTTCACACATACAGAATGGGAAGAGACTGTCTAGGAAGGAGTACGGCAGAAAGGGATCTAGGGGTTATAGTGGACCACAAGCTAAATATGAGTCAACAGTGTGATGCTGTTGCAAAAAAAGCAAACATGATTCTGGGATGTATTAACAGGTGTGTTGTGAGCAAGACATGAGAAGTCATTCTTCCGCTCTACTCTGCTCTGGTTAGGCCTCAGCTGGAATATTGTGTCCAGTTCTGGGCACCACATTTCAAGAAAGATGTGGAGAAATTGGAAAGGGTCCAGAGAAGAGCAACAAGAATGATTAAAGGTCTTGAGAACATGACCTATGAAGGAAGGCTGAAAGAATTGGGTTTGTTTAGTTTGGAAAAGAGAAGACTGAGAGGGGACATGATAGCAGTTTTCAGGTATCTAAAAGGGTGTCATAAGGAGGAGGGAGAAAACTTGTTCACCTTAGCCTCTAAGGATAGAACAGGAAGCAATGGGCTTAAACTGCAGCAAGGGAGGTCTAGGTTGGACATTAGGAAAAAGTTCCTAACTGTCAGGGTGGTTAAACACTGGAATAAATTGCCTAGGGAGGTTGTGGAATCTCCATCTCTGGAGATATTTAAGAGTAGGTTAGATAAATGTCTATCAGGGATGGTCTAGACAGTATTTGGTCCTGCCATGCGGGCAGGGGACTGGACTCGATGACCTCTCGAGGTCCTTTCCAGTCCTAGAATCTATAAATCTATGAAGACTGCTATAAAATGAAATATATGGCAGAATGCAGGTAAAACAGAGCAGGGACAAAGAAATCTCCCCCAAGGAGTTCAGTCACAAATTTAATTAACTCATTATTTTTTTAACGAGCATCATCAGCATGGTAGCATGTCCTCTGGAATAGTGGCCGAAACATGAAGGGGCATACGAATATTTAGCATATGTGGCACGTAAATACCTTGCAATGCCAGTGACAAAACTGCCATGCCACAGGCCTGTTCTCACTTTCTGGTGACATTGTAAATAAGAAGAGGGCAGCATTATCTCTGGTAAATGCAAACAAACTTGTTTGTCTTAGCGACTGGTTGAACAAGTAGTTCTGAAGTTTTATATTGTTTTGTTGTGGAGTGCAGTTATGTAACTAAAAAGAAAATCTACATTTGTAAGTTGCACTTTTACGACCAAGAAATTGCACTACAGTCCTTGAATGAGATGAATTGAAAAATACTATTTCTTTTGTTTATTGTTTTTACAGTGCAAATATTTGTAATAAAAAATAATATACACTTTGATTTCAGTTACAACACAAAATTCAATATATATGAAAATGAAGAAAGACATCCAAAATATGTAATATATTTCAATTGCAATTAATTTTTTTAGTTAATCACATGAGTTAACTGCGATTAATCAACAGCCCTAAAAAAAATGTAATTTCTGTTCCAGTTTTGAATACACAAGTGATTACAATGTTTTCCCTATTTTGTATTTTGGGGCATTTCCAAGCAATCCATTGTTAAACTAAACATTCCCAATTACAATTTATTGCTCAGTTTCAGTTGTACTAAGTGCTCAGAGCTGTTTATTGGGGTGTTTATTGGTAGTTAATGACCTCTCCTAGGACCTCAGCTCATCCAGCTAGTTGTTCACTCCCACAAAATGTCCTTCCGTCAGTCAGTCATAGATTAATTTATGTTTGTGAGGGGGAAATTTAAATAGAATTAAATCTATCTCAAAAAGCAAGCTGTTTTTCACTGTAAATTGTCTATTTTATTGTGCTTTCATCTTTACTATTGTAACGTACATTAAAACAAGAGAGCATTTTACATTTAGCTCTCTTTGTTACTGGCTCAAAATCTTTGAATTTGCTTTTCTTTGATAAAAATAGCCTAACACTGAATGAAAATTACATGTTAAGATGCCACAATTATGTTTTAATTGTATAAATTAATTGCAGGTCTATCGATAGATTATCTGGAGAACAAGCTTTATTGGATCAGTTCAGGAAATGGAACCATAAATAGATGCAACCTGGATGGTAGTAATTTAGAAATAATAGAGTCAATGAAAGAAGAATTAACAAAAGCCACAGCTTTAACCATCATGGGTAAGTGCTGGGGTACTATATTTCTTATTCTTTATATTGATTGGCTACTAATTAATCATGATGTGCGAAATGCTTGGAAAAGTTACTGCTGTACTAGTACAAGTAGTACACTTGAAATTAACTTCACCAGTGATTTTATATTAATTTTAGCTAAGTGGTTTCAGAGGTCATTGAAGTCTGAACTTAAGGTCTCTTACTATAAAGATATATATTTCTAAATGATTCAACATTCTATATACATTTTAAAGCTTTGTATTGTTTTTTATTTTATTCAAACAGTATTATTTCACATCTACATTCCAAATTTATACTGCTATCCTTTGTTTTCCCTCAAAAAAACCCAACACCTAATGCAGAGATAAAAATAAAAAAAAAGTTTTAAACTACCACTTAATTTTTTTATACTTAAGCCTAAACTGTCGTGTTTACCTCAATAAATATGTCTCCAGGGAGTCACATGCCTAGGTAGGCACTAATAGAATCCTTTTGAGCTGTGTCAAAAAGTACTGTGGAGAAGAGTGGGGGCTGAGGGTCTAAATAGTCTTGCCCCTAATAACAATTCTTTCCTCTCTCCCTAACAGATAAAGCTGCTTAGGAGCTTGTCTCCATACCTTTCTCTTCGGCACAATGCTTCCCTACAAGCTTATAAATAATTAAACTACTTATCTTAGTGTTAACATTTGTTATTCTTAAAAAAATCCAGCAAAACAAACAAATATGTATTACATATGGTTTTTTTTCCCTGTCTGTTGGCTCTTACTGCATGGTGGACTCTGAATTGGGGAAATAAGGATTTAAGAGTTTCTCTTGCTCTAACACATTTTCCTCCTCCAGTAGCTATAAGCGTTGTCTCTTTTGCCTGGGGAGGGGAGTACTGCAAAAAAAAGTAAAGTCTAAAAGAAAATGTCTAGGAAGGTTAGAAATGTGGTCAGAAATAACGACGTATGATTCAGTTCAAACTAAAACATAGAATACCTGTGGGAGACATCTATTCAAAATATGGATATTTTTAAATGGGAGAGAAGTTCTTAAAGCAATACTGTGACAGTTGCACAAGAGCTTGGATTGATAGTGGACAGCAAATTAGAAATGAGTTCTCAATGCGAAATGGTGACAATAAAACCTGTGAGCCTTACTGTCAGTGATTTTTGTATAGCAGCGAGTAGTGTGCAAGGAGACTTCAATCCTCCCTGCAATTCCTGTGTGAAGGCTAGAGGCAGGCATTATCCCTTTGCTCTATGGAAGACAGAGACTTCTCCTGTCCTCCCTCAGGGGCAAACTGAGTCCCTTTTATGGTCATGGCCCCATCACCCTTCGTCATGAGCCCCCAAGTTGAACTTAAGGTCCAATTATGTAAGTCTTATATACTCTTAGGCATTTTAAACGTAAAGATATTTAACAGAAGCAGGACATTAACTAGAAAAGCTGAAAACTGAAAAAATCAAGGGAGCTGGGAGGTGGCACTAGAATACTGATGACTGATCGCCATATTTGGGGTCGGGAAGGAATTTTCCTCCAGGGTAGATTGGCAGAGGCCCTGGAGGTTTTTTGCCTTCCTCCGCAGCATAGGGCAGGGGTCGCAGCTGGAGGATTCTCTGCAACTTGAAGTCTTTAAATCACGATCTGGAGACTTCAACAGCTGAGATAAGGGAAATTGGGTGGGTCAGCTTTTGTGGCCTGCATCATGCGGGAGGTCAGACTAGATGACCATAATGGTCCCTTCTGACCTTAAAGTCTATGAGTCTATGAGTCTATAAGGCTGGACTCTCCTGATGACTAGAATGATTTTCCTGCCCTGGGGGAAAAAATCAAGACTTCTGTTTTGTTTTGTTTTTCTGTTCTGCTTCAGAACAAAACAGATATTTTGAATTTTTTCACGTGAAAAAACAGAGAGAGAGAACACAACCCCACCCAGAATAGCAAATAGCCCACTGCAAGGTTTTTGAAAGATTTACAAATTTCTCCCTGTGTGCACCCCTCTGTCTCCAGTTGAGTTCATATAAATCAGTATTATTGGTTTTAGCTATGTGAAAATAGGTGTGTTTTAATAAAATTGATTTATGTTGGTATGTATAGAGATATCTGCCCAGCCCCTCAGAGTCCTCCAAATACCTATCTATGTAAAAATTGTTTTAATTTTGTTTAATTGATTTAAATAGTTGATCTTATATTCATTGTGGATTTTTTTTGCTTATGTTTATACATACATATAAAATAGGTGGCTTCATAGTTGGCATTTAATTACTAATATTGAATAATAAATGAAGTATCAGCTGAACTTCAGAGTTTTTGTCACAGCATAAATACATCACAATATTAGTATGTTTCCACTGGCAATTTGCTAAAATAGGTTCAACATCTGAATAATATTTACATATTACAATTTGTGTGCTGTGGAAATCAACTGAGGGAAAAAAAGATCTTTGTGTATTTTAACTCTTGTCTTAAAGAGATGTTTAATGTATAATTTTACTGACTTGATTATAACTGAGATCTTTTGTATAAATCAATGCTAATGGAATACATATATTGTCGTTCCTTCAGAGAACTATAGGAGGTATATGATGGGAATAAGGATATTTGTTCATACTTTCACTGTGATGTCCTCCTGGATTTTATATTTGCCTGAAGTCTGCAGTTGAGACTTTCAGTAATTGTTGCAAGTATTGAGATCAAGAGAGTCAATGCTTTCAGATTAAAGGGTTTGTTGTTACTATCGGAATAGAAACGTTTCATGTTCTTCTTATTTTAAGAATTAATAGAGTGCAGTTAGTTCATGTTACCATGTGATACTTGCTGCTACATATTTTTAAAATAAATTTCATACATATATATGCATTTTTCCAAAATAAAATATCTTTTTATATTAATACTTCTTCATTTTCTCAGTTAGTTAACTCTTTTGTCTGAGTGTCCAGAATTTTTTTTTAAAGCCCATATTATGGTATTTGGCCCAGATTTTTAAAGATATTGAGGCACTACTGTGTTCAGTGTTGCAATATCTGATATAGGAGACTATGGCCTTGTCTACACTAATGCTGTAAGTTGATCTAAGTTATGCTAGTTAAGTTACATAAATTACATAACTTAAGATAATGCAACTTACATAGACTTAAAGTGGTGTCTACGCCGCACTATGTCGACGGGAGACACTCTCCCATCAACATAACTTCCGCCTCTCATTGAGGTGGAGTACTGAAGTTGACGGGAGAGCACTCTCCCATTGACTTAGCTCGTCTTCACCAAACCTGCTAAAGCAACGTTGCTGCATTGATTGCTGTAGCGCTGATTTAGCCACATAATGAAGACAAGCCGTTAGTCTCGTTTTCAAAAGGGATTTAGATACTTAGGAGCCTATATTCCATTTATTATCAATGGAATACTCTTAAGGGATAGACTCACAAATGAACTCAGGCAGCTTAACTGCCACTTTAGGCACAGAATCAGGACCCATTGGGATTCTCAAAGCCCCTGATCAACTGCTCCCTGAATTCCATAGGCACCTAAAATTGCTCAGTGCCTAAATTTTTGCAGTAAAAGTTCCCTGGGCCTGGCAAGCCACTGTAGCCTAATGGTTAGATAACTCACCCAGGATTCAAAAGACCCGGAATCCAGGCCCTCAGCTCTACTTATTTTTTTAAATTATTTTTCCACAGCTTCAGCAGCACAGATTGAAGAAGCTCCACATCACCCTTTTCTTGGCATCTCCAACTGGCTATTTTATGTGAGGAGCCAGCTAATGGCTAGATTTTATGAATCCTATTCTTGAGGCACTCCTCTCTCCCCTTCATTGTATAGGCACCTAACTCAATGATTTTCTAGGTGCCTAAAAGCTATGTGTGCTGATGCTCAAAGTCCCCACATCTAAGTTTCTTTGTAAATCTAGCTCTAAGTGTCTAAATTACTTTTGAAAATGAGATTTAGTCTCATAAATCAATTAGATGTTGCAACACTGAGCGCAGCAATGCCTAAATATCTTTAAAAATCTGGGCCTTTGTCTCTATATGAGACAAAGCTGTGATATCCTGCAATATGACTTCTATATTCACTTTGTAAAGGAAAATGAATTAGCTGGTTGAGTTTTGTAGCTAGTGGCATATGCAGAGTACAATTAACTTGAAGTGAACAAATACACAGAGGCTTCAGTATACAATTCAGTGTACATTTTGTGTTTACTATTCAATTTTGCAATAGCATGCATGCTGGCTACTTTCTTAGGATGAAGATGGTGGTTTTTAATCAGTTTCTTAGATACAATATATCTAGGATTTAATGGAATTTTAATAATCTAAAATACTGTATTTCCAAATCTGAACCATATCAAAAAAAGAAGAGGAAAGAAATTAAGAAATGACAAACAATTATAATGATATGATATGCAAAGCATTATACAGTATATCAAATAAAGTGTTCTAGACCAGGAAATAAAAGGAAACAATGGAATTGTATGACAGCTGTTTTAGCACTTACTCAGGATAGACTAGAGAATGTATCATGTAAGTCACAGAAATGATTATTTTAGTACATAGTTTTCTATCTGCTTCATGAATTTCCTTCACTATTTCTTCCTGTCTGCAAGAAACCTCTAGTGTGAACATAACAAAATATATCTAAACATTAACATGAGATGGAGATGGAATCTTCCCTTTGTATATGCTAAACCAGAATTTGTCAAAGACTAAACTGAGAACAGGTATGAATGATACATATGATTGTGATCCTTAAATTGGTGATGTTTCATTCATATTCACTGACACAAAACACTTCATTAACACAGAGTTAAAATTGCCTTTTCACAATGTCAGTTCAGCAAAACACAAACCTATGAAAACCAGGATATAGAGTCAAGATATGTGCCCATGCAACTTTAACTCTTCCCCTGGGAGGTAGCAATAGCCACTGGGAATTATCTGCATGCACAGCAGCTGAGCCTACATACATTTTGTTCATTGTAGCTGTATTGAAAGGTGGAGGGATTTGTTGGAGCTGCTTCATAGAGC